CTTCTGCTCTCTGGGTTCAGCCTTCCTCCTTTGTTCTTTATTATACTTTCCCCAGACTCCTAATTCAACTCTTAGGAATTTTGTCTGTCAGTTATTTCTTTTGTCCTAACTTTTGCCTCTCTACTGACGAGTGCTTCCATTTTATTAAAAGTCTTAAAATACTGTAACACCTCTGGATGCATAGGTTTTGCACAGTGCTTACCAGTTTTCTGTCACTATTACAGAATATTCGAGGCAATTCCCTTACAAAGAAAAGGGTTTATTTTGGCTCATGGTCTAGAAGGTTGCAGACCACAGTCAGGTGACTTTGTGACTCTGGGCCTCTGGCAGGTACACACAACAGAGGCAACCATTCACTTCAAGACCCAGGGAACAAAGAGCAAGAGGAAGACAGTGGATTCCAAAGTCCTGGGCAAGCATTGTCTCCATTCACCTAAAGCCCTCCAACGAGGCCCCGCTTCACAAAGGGTTTACCATTTCCCACTTTTAACACACGAATGTGCCTACTAATTCAATAAACTGTGGATCAAAATATTTAAAACAAATAAACAAAACAAAGCAAAAAACTCACCAAAAACTATAGCCAGATGTTCTAGCCTTTCCTTGTCGTTATTTCTTAAATAGTCCAGTGTAACCACTACTTTCCATACATCTTCATCGTATTTGGTATTATAATTGAGATAGAGACGTTTTGAAGTGATGAGAAGATGTACATTGGATTTTGCAAATATTAGCCCGTTTTTTTTGTAAAATGGGCTTGAGTGTCTGAGGATCTCAGCATCGATTGAGAAATCCTTGATTCTCCACCGGTAGTTTTCAAAGTAAGGTCTGAAGAGCTACTCTATCCAAACCAACTGGGTACCGTTGGCTGACTCAGATCCAGAATGGCACGGATGGGCTTGAATCCCAAATGCCCTCAGGCAATTCTGTGGTGTGGGCATAGCATGTAGTCAGCTGTTCTGGGCTCTCCACAGTAGGTTCTTCACCTTCTCCGTACTTCAAATCATTAATAGCATCAATCACCACCCCACCAATATACCGCTGCTTTACAGGGAAAAGAAGCTATCGAACGCTGAGCGTGGTGGCACATGCCTTTAATCCCAGCACTCAGGAGGCAGAGGCAGATGGATCTCTGTGAGTTCGAGGCCAGCCTGGTCTACAAGAGCTAGTTCCAGGACAGGCTCCAAAGCCCAAAGCTACACAAAAACCTGTCAAAACCCTGTCTCAAAAAAACAAACAACAAATAAACAAACAAAAAAACAAAGAAGAAGAAGAAGAAGCTATCAAAAGAAAAAAGCGCCTTAGATTCCTGTTATCCATGTGCCCTGTGGTGCCCATTCTTTCTCTCATCTGTATAGAGAACAAGTAATCTCTCCATCTGATCCTAATGATGTGGTCTAAATTCATCTCTCATCTTGCTCCATCTTCTTTTTTTTTTTTTTTTTTTTTTTTTGGTTTTTCGAGACAGGGTTTCTCTGTGATTTTGGAGCCTGTCCTGGAACTAGCTCTTGTAGACCAGGCTGGTCTCGAACTCACAGAGATCCGCCTGCCTCTGCCTCCCGAGTGCTGGGATTAAAGGCGGGCGCCACCACCGCCCGGCCTTGCTCCATCTTCTTAAGAGTTTTCTGAACCTGTTATCCCATCCCATCTTCAGCCTCGCCCTGTGTCTATCTGCCTTTAAACACTAACTTCTCTCCAAAAGAATGCCTGTCGCTCCTTTTCCTGCTCACTTTCCAGATGATGTCGCCACTACCTTCCCACACACTCCCACTTAGGTTTCACCGAGGCCACTCTCTCTACATCCGCCTAAGATGACTCCACTGTTAAATCCCACGGGTCTTCCATTCCTATCACTTTATTCTCCGTTCCCTCTGACACTGCTGCTCAGTCCTTCTTTTTTGTTTCCGTTTTAGAAATTTAGAAAGGGTCTCACCTTGCAGCCTTGGCCTCAAACTCAAGAGAACCTGCCTGCCTCCGCTTCTGAGTGCTTGAATTAAACACATCCAGTGTCTATTCCTTTTTAAAACCCTTCTTTTCTTGCTCTCTTTCACACTTAAGTCTTGAACAGAGAGTTCGAGAGATGTGTATCTCAGACCTCTTTACCTCTTGCTGTTGTACCCGCACCAAGATTGGTATCTATTCATGCTCCTGTAGCTATAAACCATGAACAGAGAATTCCCGCATACACGTTCCTTGGCCACCCTTACTCTGATCTCCAACCTCTATCACCAACCACAGAGAGGGCATTTCCACCTAGATGCCTCACAAGTACCTCAAGTACCTCCTAAACTATACAATCCAAGTTAACCTGCCAGGCTCTGCTTAACCTCTTTCCCAGGTGCATGACGTCATTTGCTGTCACATGACTAAAAGTTCAAGGGCTATCCTTGACCCCCCCTTCCACGCCCCTCCTCCCTTAAACTTCCATTGTTAATGGCTCCCTCTGTTTCCTAGCCAGATTTCAACCACAGCTTCCCGACTGACTTGGCCCCATTTTTGCTTCTTTCCAATCCACAGTGTCTCACACCATGGAGGAAAAAAAATAAATTTACAGTATAGTTTGGTTGCAAATTAGGTTCCTGGCTTCCAGACCATCAAGGCAAAAGTCAAGGGAAAGTAATTTTCATATTTCTTGATATTTGGTCCAGCACTAATACCATGCTCTAAATCAACTACTCAGATTTATGCAGGAAGCAATAATGGCACAATAGTCAATGACCTCTACACTAATCCTATGACATAGTCTAGGATTTTCTAAATCAGTATTTAACAAGTACTCACAATGAATCAGACATCTGCCCACCACTGAAAACAAAGCAGCAAATGTGTGTGTGTGTTTTAATTTCATGGCTAACATGCAATTTCAAATAATATTAAGCGCAACTTTCATGAAAATTTGCTTGGGGAACAGCTTGCTTCTCAAACCAGCCCTCCCTTGTAGTAAAACTAGGGTCAAAATAACCATTCTCAGAGCCCTCCTGGGTCCGTCCCCAGGGCATGGTTTCCGGATTTCAGGACTTTTCACCTTCTTTTCTGTTCCAGCCTACCACCACTACTGTACAGTACAGTGCACAGTGCACTCTAAATATTGACAGGCCTCCTGGGTGCTGGCAAACTGCTTTTAGCTCCTCCACATGGAATCTGCCATTCACCAGCCTCACCTGTTGTGGCTTCCTACCAAGACCTGCCATTGATGCATCTCACCCTCCCCCACTGTCCAGATGGCACTACTATTGCTTGTTCAGGCCAAAGGTGCCCATGACGCTTACCTAGGCAGTGCCAACAAAGCCAGAGAGCAGGGTGTGGACTAGGGTTGCGTTGTCTACCACGGCAGGAAGTAGGGCAGCCAGCTATCAATCTTCCGTTACCTCGCAGGCTCTCCAGCGTGCTAAGAATGCCAAAGAGGCTGAAGCTGCCCATCCCCGGGACCTGTCTGTACTGAAACCATTCCTTGTTTCCCTCACGCATCTAAAAGGCACGTTCCTCATGCTGTTGGAAGTTACACTGCACTGCTCAGGTTCCAAGGCATTTTCTGATAATGCTGAAAGATTTAGTTTGTCTTGTGCTATGATTTGGATCTAAGTGTTCCCCCAAAGTTCATGTGCCGAAGGTTCAGTGTGTGATTACAGCAGTGCAGTCCAGAGGTGGGTCCCTTGGGGTAACTCTACCACAAAGGGTCAAACCTACTTACTTTGGCTACTGGGAGGTGGTGGACACATGAGGTAAGCCCCGATTGACGGAAATGGATCTGAGCTAGGACAGAAGGACAAGGAAAATTATGGGGACACAAGAAGAAACAGGAACCCCTCACCAGAGTCTGGTGGAAAACTGTTGCCAACTGTGAAGCAGGAATTCCAACAAAATTCTCATTTGCTTAAGGCCATTCTCCCTTCCCAGTCTACACTCTTCTAAGATTCTTCCTAGAAATCCAAGGGGCTCCTAGGTTTACCTTATCAGACTAATCCACCCAAGGCACCCTGGAGAGAGCCTGTAGTCTCCCCAAAAAGAGAAAAGGAGAAGATTAAGTTTCCTAGCAACCTTTCCAGACGGATCTTCAGAGGCACGAAAGCTGTGCACGTGGCAACTGCTAAGACACTTCACCCCGACTCTCGTCTGGGAAGCCCAAACCCACGCTTGGCTGTGGGCTTCTTATTCTCTCTGTCAGAATCTTTTTGCCTAAATTCTGTGCAAAATGGTTTCTAATCTGCTGAGGCGATTCTGTAAGAAGCCCACAGCCATCCATGTTCCAAGGTTTGGTCTTTGTGCTTTGCTCCTTCTTTCTTTGCTCTTCTTTCTATTCGTAACAGACTTCAAATCTGTTTCTAACTGGTTTGCTTTGAAATTGACTTCGGAGTAAGTCAAGAATACTGTGCCCGAGTTAAAAGATTAGAATGCCTCAGGATATTGACAACAGAGCCAGACGGTGCAGCCATTCCTCCCCGCCTCCCCTGACAAGACTTTGGTAGCTGTGGGGGCCAGCTGTGATGAACTAAGTCTGGGCAGGTCACAGAGGAAGCTCTTTACTTCCAACTATTATCACCTGGGACTCTGGCCATCGATGAATTTAAATAAGAGGCTCGGTAGTTTACCCTGAAGCAATACCTGGTAGCAGGAAAACACCACAAGCTGAGATTACCCAACCCCCACCCAAGAGCGGACCATTCAAAGGAAGTGCCTGACATTCCAACCCCAGTAGGCGCACCTCACCAGGACACCCTAGACAAACGTCAGCCCATCAGGGGTCCTGAACCTCAGAGACCCCTCAGTCCCACCTTCACTACTGTAAAAACCCAATTGTAATTGAGCTCGGGGCTCTCCGAATACTCCAATAAGTTGGACACGTGGAGAGACCGAGTTTGCAAACTTGATTAAAATAAAGGCTCTTTGTTTTTACATATGGGATTCGGTCTCTTTTGTTGGCTTTTGTGGGGACTCTGCAGATTTGGGCATAACAGTAGCTCTAACCTAAAGCTACCTTCCTTCCTCGCTCCCAGGCTCCGGCGCTAAAGCTTTGCGCATGCTCGGAGAGTGCTCTACCGATGAAGTACATCCCTAGATCAAAATGGGAAAAGGTAGCTTCAGAAATAATAACAATAATAAATACACAACAGATAGATGTCTTAGATCTTGGCTTTAGCAGTCTTGCTTTGAGGACTTCAGGGAATTTTTCCACATCCAAACTACGCTCCCTCCACCCCAAATCCTAACCCAGCCTCCTCTCACCCTCATTTCCTCCCTACTCACCCCAGGCAAACCAGCAAGGGGGGAAAAAAACCCAGAAGTTCCCATTAATTGCCTGGGGCCCTTAAGCTGCCTTAGCCCGAAGATTGGCCCAGTGGAGTGGGGGCTGAAGAGGGGGGTGGGTGGAGGGGCAAGACTTTCAAAGCTCAGGGGGCGGTCGGCCGAACTGCCGTCCCTAAGGGCCCTCGGCCGCGCGCAGCATTGTGGATGTTGTAGTTCTTACAGGCTGAGTTTCCACATCGGACGAAGTCTCCGGACTCACTTTCCCGTGCTCCTGTGCCGCTGACTTAGATGGGGGCAGGTCCTAGGCAGGGCAAGAAATTGCACGGGAGTTTAGTTATAAAATGTGGGCTTCTGCTGTTGCAGCCTCCACTCCACTGCTTTGAAGTACAAGTTTCAGGTCTTTGCTGAGTCTGCAGCAGGAGCTGCCGGCGTCGCCTGGGCTTAAACTACTAGGCAGTCTTTCTGCTCCCTCCCATTTCTCCCCACCAGCGTCCCGCCCCTCGGGCCAGAGTGTCGCCGGGTCGCCCAGCTGGAGTCGCTGGGTGGTGCTTGCCCTCCAGTCCCTGTAAACTTGGGGGAGGCTGCTGAGCACCCGTACCTGCTGAAGCCTCAGCTTCCAGAGCCTCTAGCATGCGCGTGTGGGCCCCCGTGGGCGTCCTGGCCTCGTTGGCTTACTGTTTCCACCAGCGGCGGGTGGCTCTGGCCGAGCATCGGGTGCCTGATGGCCAGTGTCCAGTGGACCGCAGCCTACTGGAGCTGAAAATGGTGCAGATTGTGTTTCGACACGGGGCACGGAGTCCGCTCAAGCCGCTCCCGCTGGAGGAACAGGTGAGAGACGACATACCTTAGGATTCCCCCCCACCCCCCACCCCTCACCCCCGGCGCAGAGGGGCTTGGGCTGGGTTCAGACCAGAGGAAAACAGCAATAAACGGGCTGTGGCCCGGAGCCCTTTTCCCCATCCTCATCCACCACCCCCCCCCCCTCCACCAGTCTGTAAGCCTCCCTAGCTAGGGCAGCTCCCCCAAACTTTCAGTTTCAAGGTGTAATATAACTTTTAAAAGATGCATAGGCACCGCTCAGGGCATCTTGTTTTAAAGGCAGAGTCTAATTAGGCGGACGTGGAGTTGGGTCGCATTTAGCGGTTCTGTGTTTTGGTGAGCTTAAGTTCAAGGGTGCAGCGGACCTTGTAAGTGGCTCTATCGCTGGTTGTTAGTTGCAGAGACCTTTGTACCAGGGTCACCCTAAGTGTTATCACAGCGCAGAACAGGCTGGTGCCTTTGGGACCAGATCTTATTACAGATTTTCTCATGGCTTGCTGGAGCCCGTTTGAGATCTCATGAAGTCTTTTTGGTGAAGAGGACCTTATCTTGGGATTCTTTACGTTTTAGGTTTAGAAATCTGAATTAGCTAGTCTTATGGCTATAAATCAAGATAATTATGATTAAAACACAAGTAATTCGCTTTCTGTTTTAAAAACGATTGCCTGTCAGGTGAAAAAGAATAGGACACCAAAAGTCCCCAAGGCCCCACGTGTTGGATTTACCCTTGGAATGTGTATTTGTTCTATATTCTTCATAATCATATCTGCTTGCTGAAATGCTATGAATTTTATCTTCGTATCATGCAACCCAAGGTCCTGTCTTTAAAGAGGGTCACAGGTGAAAAAAATCAACCCTCCAGGTGACTTTCACATAAAGACATTCTAGCAGGCTCTTAATTTTATGGCTACACCACTTTCTTTCTGTCTGGTACTGCAATTTTCGTTTTGCTTCTTTGATTCCCCACCTCCTCCACATAGGGCCTTTAAAATTAGATCTCTAAAGTTTTTTTTTATTATTATTATTTTGTCCACACATGCTTCATCTCTTTGTACCCCTATTCTTCTCTATTTCTTCTTATTATAGAGTGTTAGGAAGATATATTGATGTTTTAGATACCGTTATCAGTGACAGCAGAGAATAAAGTTTGTCTGTCTAGATCTGGACCCAGTGTATACAGACTGTGCAAGTACCTATCTAGGTCAACCTGTACTGGTGGATTCTAGCATAGAATGGCTTCGTTGACATGCTTTGACAAGATGTTACCATTCTATTTGAGGGAACTGGAAGAAACAATCCCACTCAATTCATTACTGGAAAGACAGCCATTACATTACTCCAGCCTCATTTTGAACTGTAAAAAAAGAAAAAAAAAAGATTTAAATCCTTTCAGGGGTGTGTGTGTGTCTCTCTCTCTCTCTCTCTCTCTCTCTGTGTGTGTGTGTGTGTGTGTGTGTGTGTGTGTGTGTGTGTACATATCAGTGGTTATGTGATGGGAATCTTACACCTTCATGGTGGAGATAATGAGAATCCCGGCTTCTTTATCTTTACTTTCTTTCCTGTTTTGTTTTGTTTTTCGAGACAGGGTTTCTCTGTGTAACAGCCTTAGCTGTCCTGGAACTCACTCTGTAGACCAGGCTGGCCTTGAACTCACAGAGATCTGCCTGCCTCTGCCTCCCGAGTACTGGGGATTAAAAGACATGCTCCGCCAGTTCCCGGCTCATTATCTTTTCTTTATATAGTTACAGAAGGTGGAATGTAATTTCACGGCCTTGCTTTGCAGTTTGAGAACTGTTGCTTTAACTTCCCACTCATGCACTGCAGACTTAGGCTGATATTTTGATTTTTTAAACATGATTGGTGGGAGGGGGAGGATGAGCACGCCTGTGTGCACACAGGTGCCTGAGAAGCCAGAAGAAGCCACATCTCCTGGAACTGGAGCTAGAGGTGGTTATGAGCCACGTGATATGGGTGCTGAGAACAGACTTCAGTCCTCAAAGCAAGCACTCTTGGCGGCTAAGTTATCTCTCCAGCCCTAGGGAGAAGAAGCTTTAAACATGTCTGGTTTTCTTGGATAAGGTTCTGTGCCTAAAATCCAGGGGTGCAACCAACTCTCTGGCTGTGCGTAGTTGTCATCAGCCTCCTATGACTTGATTCTGGATATCTTCTCTCGAGTCTTTTCAATATCCATGGTTATTGATATTTCTAGCTTTATTTTATTCTGCTATGATTGCCAGAACAGACTGTGTGGCAACAATTACAAAACTAAGATTAGGTTTGCTGCATTTTCTAGTTTCTGCTGGTTTACTATCATTTCAGCTTTCCCACAAGCCCTTACAAAGTGCCATTGTTTAAGAGGAGATAGTGTGCTGACTTGTTTTTTTAAGGATTGGGGAACAGTTGTTCTGTCCTGCCAAAAGATTTGGAAATAAAATTATGGAACTCGCTGAACATATTTCTGACCTTCCGACTCTTGGCTCTGCTTTCAACTTTTCCCTGGCTTCCTCCAGACAGTGGCAAGGGAACCCCCTTAACTTTTATAACATAAGTGCAGCCCACCCTAGTTCCTCGCTAAGTTCATGTCTGTCTTTGACAGTATAGATGAGCCGGGAAGTATGCTATGTTGCTTAACTCCTGCCTAAAGCTCAGCCTAGAGAAGTGTTTATGAACGATGTGCAAGTTCATTCATTCCTCTGGGTTAATGATGGTTCTAAACCCTGGCGGTTCCGCTGGGGAAATATTCATGCCCAGGAGGTTCTGGAAGTTAAGAAGAGCACTTCCTTCTGTGGTAGAGGACTCTGGCTTAGTTCCTGGCACCTGCATGGCTGTTCAAAATTGTATGTCCAGCTCCAGGAGCACCGCAGCACTCTGGGCTCTGTGGGCACAAGGCACATGTGTGGTGCTCAAATGCACAAGCAGGCAAAACACACACACAGTATGCATGCCTGAGTCTTCCTGCAGATCTAGATTTAATTGGTGCAGTGTGTCCAGACACTGTAAGAGCTTCTCTTCTCTGGTGCTTAGAATTATCTGGGCTCAATAACGCTGAGAAGTGGAGACCCCACCCCATAAATATCCAGATGTGATTGGCCCAGAAGGAGGCTCAGACATCAGCAACTTAAAAATTCCTTGTGATGCCTCGAGCATAACCAAGGTTTAAAACCCATTGTTTTTTCCTAAAATCTTCACCTGGAAGGTTTTGGTGTATTTTTCTGTGCCTTTTTCTTTTCCCTGGGCTGTGTCCTGTCCATCCCACTGTGAAATTGCCTTCCCCGGGTATGTTGTGGTGTTGAGGGAGCAGGGAGAAACTGTCCACAGAACTCACCGCTGTGACAGCTGGAAAGACATCCGTCACATCCCACTGTCCTCTTTATGAGACCCCGTGGGAGGAATGTGTCTGTTAGCTTTAGGGGTGCTGTACTTCTCCCGAGCGGTTGTCTTGCCTGTATCTTTAACCTTGTCTTGTGGTGTTCTAAAAGCAGACAGTTTAGTCCGGAATCTGCAGCCCCCCACAATCAGCATGTGGCTTTTTGCCATGCCCGGCTTGCAGGAACCGTACTGCTGTGTCCGTTTCTGTCCCTACACTTGCTTGTCGTCCTCCCTGCTTACTTTGAATTAGTTGTTTTAAATTATATTTTAGGTTTTGCTATCATCTAATTTTCTTAAGATTTTTTTCCTTTTAGTTTATGTGTCTGTTTGATTGCCTTCGTGTGTGTCTGTGCACCGCAAGATTGCCTGGTGACTTTGGAGGCCAGAGAGCATTAAATCCCCTTAGTCAGCACACTGTCTCCTCTTAAACAATGGCACTTTGTAAGGGCTTGTGGGAAAGCTGAAATGATGATAAACCAGCAGAAATTAGAAAACGCAGCAAACGTAATCTTAGTTTTGTAATTGTTGCCACGTAGTCTGTTCTGGAAATAATAGCAGGAGGTTGTAAGCCTCCGTGTAGATGCTGGGGAATCCTTGACTTCTGGAAGGTCAATAAGTGACCTTAGCCACTGACCCATCTCTCCAGACCCCTAACTCTCTCTTTAAAGATGATGTGTATCTATGTATATGTATATATGAAGTAAAATTATCAAGTTAGTCTCTCCCCCGCTCCCATCCTCTGAAACAGGCTCTGGCTTTGAAGCCTAGATTGGCCTGGAACTCAGTTCTGTAGCTCAGGTTGGCCTTGGACTCAAGGCTGTCTGGCCACAGCATCCCTTCGCCATGCTCAACTGGTTTGAGTTCGTCTTTACCTCCTAGAAACTGAACAGGGATGAGGATAAGTGTGTGGTAATGGAGGTGGGTAGTGTCTATGAATGGATATATCATCCGTGCATGAAAATCTGATCGTGTGCTTAGACTCCACATGGCCTGAACACCAGGATTGTTGCTGGGACACACCAAGGGTCCTCTGTGCTCAGAGGTGAACCTGAGTGGACCTTGGTGCCTGTGTCCCAGGTTCTGTGCCCCACACTGCTGGACTTAACCAACACGGAGGCTTAGTCTCAGCTCCAAAAGAATTGGCGAAGGAGAAAGCTGAAACAGCCAGATCTGACTCACCGGGATGTGTTGAGAATCCCCAGAGCACACAGGGGTTGCTCACCCTAACCTGACCCCTGACCTTTCCTGCTTTCCTGCTCTGTCTTGGTTTTAGACAGGGTGTTTGCAGTAGCCACACAAGCTGAAACCAAAGCCATATTCGTCCTTTTTCTTCCTGTTTACCTCCCAGCCCCGCCCCCCCAATCAGAGCTTGTATCTGCCCACTTCCTCTGTTCCTGCTGCCTTAGATGCAAACTTCTAGGTCTCTCTGACATGTTAAAACCAGTTCTTACGAGTCAGTGGTAATTGTAACTTGCAGCACTGGCATTTGGACCACTCTGTGGAGCCATGCTCCTGTCTCACTACTGCTCGTGTGCCAGGTGGCTGGGGCTCTGGGCACCTGCTCCTACTTCTGTTGGAAAAGCTGCAATTTTCGCCTTTATCTCCTGTTCTGAGGTTCACCTCCTACAAGCCCAGGTGTTTGCGTCTCTGCATCCCTGGCAAATGTCATTCCTTTTGCAACTTTGACTCTGCAGCCCGAAGAGCTGCGCCGGCCTTTGAGCGGTGGCAGCTGTGTTTGGCATCTTAGAAGACAGACCCGCCCCTGCTGTGCCATGGCTGTCATGTATATTCATGGCTGGCTTCCTCTCTGAAAACCCAGGAAAGGCCAGATCAGGTTACCTGACATTGGGTGTCTTGCGTGGGCTCTGGGAGCTGATAATAGTAGCATCCAGACTCGTAACCCAGTGGATGACTCAGTCTCTCTTCTCCAGAAGCTGTCTATGGAACAGGACAGACTGGTAAAGGCAACTTGCCTGGTGCAGTTTGGTGCAGGCTTTTAAAGAGCCAGAAAAACTTGTGTAAGCACAGGGCCCTGGCCACAGCTTCTTGGTTATGTGCTGTGGATGGGAGTTTGCTTCAAGGACCTGGGCAGGAAGGAGTCAGAGGTTTGAGTTTTAGAATGTGTAATTGGGTTCACATTGAGAGAATCAGTAGGCAGGGAAGGGGAGTCTGAGTATGGACTAGAACATCCATTTTCAACCTGGGGGTCGAACGACCCTCTCACAGGGGTCACCTCAGACCATCAGAAAACACAGATATTTACATTACAGTCCATAACAGTACCAAAATTACAGTTATAAGCTAGCAATGAAAATAATTTTGTGGTTGGGGTCACCACAACACAAGGAACTGTATTGAAGGGTCGCAGTGTTCGGAAAGTGAAGACTGGAAGACCATCACATCTGACTCCACAGAGATAACAGTCACATGGGTCAGGTGTGAGACCTGTGTTGCTTTGAAAACTCATCCAGTTTAGGCAGGAGCCAGGTTATGAGGACTGAAGGAAGATGAGGAGAAAAAACAGGTGTCTGTAGATGGCAGCCACTTGTTTCAGAAACAGAGAAGAGAACCAGAACTAGGCAGTAGTAACACTGGGCTTTCTGCAGAGTCCTAAGTGTGGCTGTGGAGCATGGAGACCACACTCGATTCTTTAGAGGTTGTTACTAACATGGCAGTCCCTGAGATCGTGTTTCATTCATTCATTTGCGGACCCACTCACTCATTCCCTCACTTGGTCGCCGAGCTGCTGCACGCCAAGCAGCCTGGCTGCTTCTCCCTTTCAGTCGAATGGGCTTAGCGGGTTAGCAGCGCTGTGAGTCTCAGTATGTCTCAGAGAAGACCTGAGCTAAAGATACCAGGGATAATAAAGCGTGGTCCTTTCTTCCTTTAGTCGGAGGTACAGGCTCCTTCCCTTGCTTTCCCTGGGGAGGTTTGCGGGCCTAGTGTCAGGTGACTCCAGTCACGTCAACCAAGGCCATGGGTGTTAGGGCTACAGTTTCAAGAACTTTCTTTTAACTCTATGTCTTTTTTTTTTTAATGGCCACACCAGGTGGAGTGGAACCCCAAGCTTTTAGAGATCCCACCTCAAACACAGTTTGATATCACCGTCACCGATCTAGCTGGTGGCCCGAAACCTCATTCTCCTTATGACTCTGAATATCACAAGACCACCTTGAAGGTAAGTGATGCCTCCCTGCTCTGTGAAGCCCGCTGCAGAGCTGCGGGGACTTTCTCTGAATTGAGCTAGCCTTTATCTGACCAATCTTCCCTTTCTGTGTGCCCCACTTTAGGGTGGCGTGTTTGCCGGGCAGCTGACCAAGGTGGGCATGCAGCAGATGTTTGACCTGGGAGAGAGGCTGAGGAAGAACTATATGGAAGATGTTCCCTTCCTTTCCCCTGTCTTCAACCCGCAAGAGGTCTTGTGAGTCCTAGATAAGGAGATAGATACGCACTTGCGGTCTCGCATGCATAAGCTTCCTGACCCCTGCTCTCATCCACGGTGGTTTGGGGGACAAATTGCTACCGTGCACTTACTCTTATGTCGTAGGCTGCCGTGGGCGAGTATCACTGAAGGTCACAGTCAGGGCCCTGGGAGCAGCCAGGCTGTAGGGAGGAAAGGTTTCCGTCCCATGGTGTCCTGTGTGTGGTTCTGAGAGGTTTACACCTGCTCCATCCCCAGCCATTCTGCGTTCCCATGTGAGCATCTCTGCCTCTGCATGTTCATTTCCCTCCCAGTGTCCGCTCCACCAACATATTACGGAATCTGGAGTCTACTCGGTGTTTGCTGGCTGGGCTTTTCCAACATCAGAAAGGTTCGTATTTGGGTCAAAAAGTCACCCCTGTGCCAGAGGAGCTCTTCTCGTCTCCAATGCCTTTCCCTTCCTCTGCGCCTTTTCTCTCCATCCCCTGTGTACATGACTTCCAGTTGTTGATGTTGCAAGGGGTCCTTGCCAACCTGACCTCCGCAGTGAGCAGGAACTGGGTGCACCTCTGCTTCCTGACTCCTCGGGCTTCCACATAAGCTGCAGAGGTAATTCTGTCCAGGCTTGTGGGCAGTAGTGAGGCACTACTGAGAAGGAGGGAAAGGGCCACCCCTAATTGGAACTTAAGACTGCTGTCATGGCTCTGATCTTAATGAAAACCCCCAGCCCAATGTAGGTTGTATCCGCCGTGTTCTATGAAGCCTTCCTTCATTGAGAAGGTTGTTGAGTTTGAATCTTAACACATTTAATCGGCGAATGATTGCAGTCGTCAATTCCAGAACTTTCCGTCTGTGAGGGGTGTATTTCTTCCTTTCTTTCTGGATCCCATGTGAGACCTATGTTAGCCACCGTCACATGGATGTGGCTAGACCTCCTGGCTTGCGCTGTCAGAGAGAGGGGAGGCTGCCGTGGCAGGAAGGTGTGGCAGGAAGGTGTGCCGGCAGAAGCAGGGCAGCAGTGTGAGGTGGTGAGTGCACACATTGTGACAGGCCAGGACACATGCCGAGCCAGAGGCAGGTGTACCTGCAGAGGCCTGCCTCCACGCATCTAACCACAGCCGGGGCCCCACTTCGTTAATGCTCCCCAGGTGCCCACACCTCACCTCTCCTCTAGGGAACACAAGTGTTCAGAAATACAGGATCCTGTGCTTCAAACCACGGCTGCAGATTCAAACCCTAACAGGGCCTTGGCCCAGCGAATGAGGCGAGCTTTTGTCTTTTGTAATTGTTTCAAGTCCACATGGAAGCACTCCTTTGAATTTCAGATAATCATCTCGTAACTGGTACGCTCTAACAGGTATTAGGGTACTAATCGCTGCTACGTAGCAAAAATTGTTGTTCTGTTGCTTCTAGAAGTATCTTGAACGGAAATAAAGTTTCTGTAAAACTTTGAAGGACAGTAGGACCATCAGGCCAGAGGTTGGACTTGACCTGTCTACTGGTTTGGGGGTTGCTACTCACCCTGGCTGAAGCCGGCCGCCTCACACACTGTGTGCCTAGGAAGCCAGGCAAACAGGGCAGGCTGCTCCTTGTCAACCCTCAGGCTTGGAAATGATCCACAAGGCCTGGCCTTCCGAAAGTTCCTCCCTTGCTCACCTTCGAAAAGGCAAATGTCCCCTTCCCGGAAATAGTCAGTGTGACTCAGGAGGAGGCTTCTGAGTCACCTGTGGCCCCTTTTTCTCCACAGGCAGGTTGCAGACTGAGGATGCCCCAGGTTCTAGCAGGGAGGGAACCAGCTACCTTGGGATAGTGACTCCCTGAATGACTGGAAGCCCAGTGGGACTCTCCTCAGGGATAATCTGTGCCTTTCTCAGTACCAAGAACGGCAGAAGCCACTGCCACTCACGGGACAGTGCAACTGCAGAATGGCTTTAGGAGGGAAGCCCTGAGGTGCCCGAGACGGTAGAGGGTAGTGGGCTGTACAGGAAGCCGGAGAGCGTCCATCTGCCCACTTGGCTGTCGGGCGTTAAATGTAGATTGTCTGCTCAGGTGTGCCTTACTTCCCATTAGCTACATCCTGATATCTTGCCATCAGGAGCAGACTGCGGACGGATGTGGGTTCGTGGTTATGCTAGAGGTTTCTATCATGGTTATTCTCCTGACACATAAAGCATTGTCCTAAGAACTCGGCACATATTGTGGGGCAGACACCGTCAGCTCCTTTTACAGATCAGAGAAGTAATGCAGAGAGAGGCTGAGTAGCTTGCCCAGTAGCCCGGATCTGCAGATGGTGTAGGTGGGGTTAAAGCCCAGCTGTCCATGTTTGTCCCCTTCGTCAGCTGCGTCTTTGAGGATGTGCAACATCTAGGATGTCTAGGGCGGAGTCTTTGATAATTTTGTCTGATCTTTGTTTTTAAATTTACTTCTTTTTGTTTCTGTGCTCCGTGCATGCGTGGAGACAGACGATAATGTATACACGTCCTTTCTCCTTCCGTGATGTGGGTTCGGAGACTGAACTCGGGGGGTCAGGTTTGGTGGCAAGTGCCTGTGTGCGTGTGTGTGTGCGCGTGTGTGATAGTCTCATGGAGCTCAGACTGACCTCAAAGTTAGTGTATAATGGAGGCTGGTCTTGAGTAGCTAGTCCTTCTGCCTTTACTCCCGTACCACCGTGCCCATCCTTACCTGTTCCTTTCTACAAGCCCCCAGAATCCTGCAGAGGGGTCCCAGGGACTACAAGAAATAAGGATAGCCGGGCGGTGGTGGCGCATGCCTTTAATCCCAGCACTCGGGAGGCAGAGGCAGGCGGATCTCTGTGAGTTCGAGACCAGCCTGGTCTACAAGAGCTAGTTCCAGGACAGGCTCCAAAACCACAGAGAAACCCTGTCTCGAAAAACCAAAAAAAATAAAAAAATAAAAAAAAAAAAGAAACAAAAAGAAATAAGGATGCTAGAACACTGTACCTGGGCTTTGCTTTGAGCCCCCATGCTGTGGGCACTAACACGTTTCTTTTTATGCTGTGTGGGAATGAGTGGGTGGTGGTGGTGGTGAAGGGTGTTCTGTTGCTTTGAAAATCCAAGAGTCCCTCTGTTTTGATTCCCTATGGGTTCTGCGCTGAGGGGATAGCCTTGTGATAGGTTACCCTATTGGCCTATGGAAGTGAATTGTGGGAAACAGGAAAATAACCCAATTCTGATTAAGTCAAGCCAGCCGGTCTGTATTGGAATGCCCACATGCTGGTCCTGGTTGTGTCTTGGGAATGAGTTGGAAGCTTTGGTCTGATCCAGGTCTGCAGCCCAGTGGGAGGGCGTATGCTAAACAGAACAAAGCTGCTCCTTTATCCAGTGCTTGGAGAACTGTGGGCAGAATCAGCGCAGGAACTGCACCTAAGAATGACCACTTAGATCAGCTCTGTAGACAAAGAGATGGGGAAGGCAGAAGCGGTCCTGGAAGAGGGAGCTGAGGCCCCCTACCACTGGTGTTTCCTTCCCCCTTCCAGGATCGGTCGTTATCCACACTGATGAGGCAAGCTCCGAAGTACTGTACCCCAACTATCAGAACTGCTGGGGCCTGAGAGAGAAGACCAGGTAACAGACTTTTCTTGTTCTTGCTAGCATCTGCCATTGCTCAGGCATTTCTGGGGTACACTGAAACTATTCCAGAGTAGAAAGAATAGGGTTCCCACACAGATCTAAGTTATACATGGGTTTTAGTAAAATAGGTAGAAACAAAAGAAGAGGATTTGGAAATTTTAGTCTTTTATTCTAGCCCTAATTCTTGCTGATTTATGTTTACAAGTCATTTAACTTCTTAGAGCCCTAATTGTCTTGTCTGTAAAATGGGAATAATATTGCTAGCCACACTAGATTGTTGTAAGGATTACATGAGATCGTAAACCCTGAACAAAGTACATTTTATAAATTACTAATCTCTGTACAGTAGTAATATAAGAGCTTGTGGGTTTTGGCAGAAGTCGGAAGAAGACTGCCAATTTGCAGCCAGGGATCTCCGAGGATTTGGAAAAGGTGAAGGCAGGTGTGGGCATCAGCAGTGGTGACAAAGTGGACTTCTTTCTACTCCTGGACAATGTGGCTGCCGAGCAGGTGGGATAGCTGTTTCCCCTGGGTCCCGGGTTGGGAGCCGTGGGAATGGGGTGACTTAGCTTCCTGGGAGCCCTCCTGTCTACAGGCTGCTGTAATAGGATCTGCATGTAGGATGGATGTGGACACCCAAGGAGGGACCGGAACATGTAGTAATAGGGGCGGCGGGGCTGCATCCCCAGCACCCCGGCTGCCTGGCTAGCTTATGCCCAAAATAACAACACACAAACTGTATTCATTTAATCACTGTTTGGCCCATTTCTATCTAGCCTCTTCTAGGCTAATTCTCACATATTAATTTAGCCCATTTCTAATCATCTGTGTAGCGCCCCTAGGTGCGCTTACCGGGAAGATTCTAGCCTATGTCCATCCTGGGTCGGAGCTTCATCGCGTGCGTCTGCCTGGGAGCTGGGAGCATGGCATCTCTCTGAGGCGTCTGCTCCCGAGAAGAGAGCCGTGGAGTCTGAGCTCACTTCCTCTTCCTCCCAGCGTTCTGTTCTGTTTACTCCTCCCACCTATCTTCTAACCAATGAGGGCCAAGCAGTTTATTTTTATTTAACCAATGACCTTCCTCCATCAGGAACAGTCAGATGACTCCTCACCCAGGGTCAGGACATTACCTGACCTGTGTGTGTTTGGGAGAGTGGGCTTCCAGTGGGCTAAGTAGCGAGTATAGTGAAGAATATACATACCATTTTTCTATGTGTATATACTCATTGTATGGAAGCCAGAGGACAACCTCAGATGTCCTTCTGCAGGGCACATACACCTTGGTTTTTGAGATAGTCTCTAACTGATCTAGTCAGGGATCCACCTGTCTCTACCCCCCAGGACTGGAATTGTTAGCTTGTGCCACCACAGCCGGTTCAGGGGGTCAAACTCGGGTCCTCAAGCTTGCATGGCAACCACCTTAGCGATCTTTCTTCCCAACTCAAGCTTTGCTTCTTTTGAGACAGTGTCTAAATATGTGTAGTATCTAAGAATTGCCTCCAGCTCTTCCTCTCTGAGTGCTGGGTTACAGGTGGGTGCCACCCGCCAGGTTCTACTTGACAATTTTACATTTAGCATTTCTTAGGGTCCAAAACTTTAGGGATCCATCTTTATTGTGTCACTTTTGAAAGGCCTGTATGAGTATCAGCATATTTTAAAATCTAAGTTGGCATGGTCCACATTTCTATATTATATTCTTATAATCCCAGAATTTAAAATGCTGAGGCAGGAGGATCAAAAGTGGAAAGCTAACCTGGTCTACATAGTGCAATCCTGCCTAGAATATATGTGTATGTGTATATGTATTAATATATTTATGTTTGAGTCTTGGGCTGGTGACGTGGCTCAGTGGGTAAAGATGCTCGCCTCCAAGCTCAGACAACCTACATTTGGTTCCCAGAAACCTCAGAGCCGATGCTCACAAGCTGTTCTCAAACTTTTGCATGCTCAGTGGAGCAGTGCATCCCTCCACCCCGGCACTCACACACACTTACATGCACACACACACATCAGTCAATGTAAAATTTTAAGATGTCTGTAAAGTAATCTGGTTAGCCCGTTAGTCTGTTTTCCTCAAATTGATTTAACCATAGAATCTTTTTATGGACTCAAAATATATTGTATGTATTACATTTTATGAATGCATATAACATTTTGTGTAATGTGTACATATTATTAAAAAGCATTGAAATTTATATTACATATCATGCAATAATAGTGCCACACAGTAGGAACCCTTCTGTGGATTGAAAGACCAGATGCCCAAAGACAATGCAGGGTCTTTTTCCTTGTCTTACAATAACGATGCCTCCCAGGCATCCCTGTGCCTCGTGCTTATGTGTAGTGAGTTTAAGGTTATATGGCAAAGGTTCATGAAAAGCATTTATATGGCATACAGTTTCTAAAATCATTTTAGGGAAATAACAACCAAATGAAATGTTTTAATTCCTTGACTTATAGTTTATCAATAGTTTTCAAACTTGGAGTGCATGGGAGCCATCATGGGGTGTGAAGCTTTCTTTACAATCCTGTGCCTATATGGGGCTGGAGAGATGGCTCAGTGGTTAAGAGCACTGGCTACTTTTCCAGAGGACCCGGGTTCAATTCCCAATGACATCCCACAGCTGTCTGTAACTCCAGTTCCAGGGCATCTGCATCTTCACACAGACCTACATGTAGGCAAAACACCAATGCACATAAAATAAAAATAAATACATCTTTAAAAAAAATCTATGCCTTATAGATCTTAATTAATACAAAGGTGTAAGGGTCTTGGGGACATAACTGGCACTCTTTGCAGGCAGGGAGTGTTTTCCTGTGACACCGCTGGTGACCCTTACAGGTGCACAGCCTCTGCAGCTGCCCAGCGCTGAAGAGGTTTGCCCAGATGATCGAGCAGAGAGCCGTGGACACAGCCTTGTACGTGCTGCAGCAGGAAGACAGGTGAGAGACCACAGGTGAGGGCTCTCCTTAAATCATACCTGGTCAGTCGGGGGGGTCATCAGGCCACTTCACACCTGCCTGCTGGCATCAACGTGGAAAGAGGCCTCTGTTCTCACTTCTGAGCCGGGGCTAGTGACCTGGACCTCCACTTCTGGGCTAGCCTACCCCAGGCCTCTGCTCTCACTTCTGAGCCGGGGCTAGTGACCTGGACCTCCACTTCTGGGCTAGCCTACCCCAGGCCTCTGCTCTCACTTCTGAGCCGGGACTACCCCAGGCCTCTGCTCTCACTTCTGAGCCGGGCCTACCCCAGACCTGTGCTCTCACTTCTGAGCCGGGGCTGCTGACCTGGACCTCCACGTCTGAGTCTCATACTCTTCCCTTTGCTTCACATTTCACAAGAGCCGAGTGCAGCGAGTGGAAGGTGGGATCATACGCTGCAGTCTGTCGACCACAGCTCAGTTAACGGATGTTCCCTGTTCTCGCCGGGTGCAAGGTGGTGCTTAGTGGTGCTGCTCTCACGGGTGAAGGAACTAGACAGAATCCACAAAGCCCTGCTTGGTCCCTAGCTTGAGAGGAAGGGCTAGACCGAGAGGGCTGGTTGCTTTTCCTGGGCTGCTTTGGCAGGTGGCACAGCTAGGACTTGGTCCCAGATCCTCTGACCCGTTTGCTGCCGTGTCTTGTTGGTACTTGAGATTCTGTTCTGGAATGCCCGCTGCTTTTTTTTTTTTTTTTCTTTTTTCCTTTTTCTTCTGATTAAGAGCATTCAGTTTGCACTAAGAATAGGTGACTTGGAAGCATTTAACGTAAAGGGAAATGATAATCGGGGCTGTGCTGGGGGAGGGGAACAGTTAACTGTTCAAGAATTTGCAGTGTCTGCTGCGTGAGAAAAGAGCCCTCGCATTGACGAGGAGTCAGCATGCCCATCTGTGCAGCAGCCTTGGGCTTCCCAAAGTTCTCCAGCCAAGCTACTCAGCTGCCATTCCCTGGGACTCAACAGCTTCCAGGTTTTGTTCATGAAGTGGCCCCGCCAGACCTAAACAGCCGCTCACTGCCCTCCCTTCTGCCAGTCTACACGTAAACATACATGGCAAATGCCTCAGGCTCAGTGGGCCGTGTCTGGTTTATCGCAGCTTCATCTTTATGCATCTTGAAGCAGCTATGGGTAATACGCACACAAAAGGGCATGGCTGTGTTCTAATAAAACTTTATGAGATCAGGCAGGCGCCTCGTCATTTGGCCACAGCACGGCATGCTTTCTTCTGACCCGTCGTTCTTTCCATTTCTATCAGTTGCATAAAACTGATGTTTTCTTCGAGAACAAACGGCACGCCATTGCAATGCATTCTGGGTCTGGCCTGTGTACCTGACAGGTGCATGCCGCATTCCTTCAATTACAGAGGTAGCCGTAATTTCTAAACTAGATCTACGCCATTCATGTCTGCATCCTTCTCTTCCGTGCACTTGAGTACCGGGGCTCCTATGAGCGGTAGGTTTTGGTTTAGTTTTTGGACACCTCCACCCCAATAAGAAGTGCGAGGCACACTCACAAGTAAATCTTTTGTCCCTTGTCAGCCTTGCTTTGCTCTGCTCGGTACTGCGAGAGGATATATGTTGCGTTACAGTCACTGATGGTCTCAGGATGACCCAGAATGAAAGTGGCAGGGCGTAGCTCCAAGCTCACAGAGTTAGAAGAGTCCCTACTGCACTACGCTTCAGCTTCAGAGGGTAGAGTGCATGCAGGGACAGTCAGCGGGTGCTTTTCCAGGGGCCTTTCAGGGTTTCTGAGTCTTGTTACCTCCGCCCTTTCCAACTTTACTCTTGTTCCTCCAAGCGTACTTCCTTTTTTCCACCTTGATCTATTGTGTGTGTGCACATGCACAGGTACGCTGTGCACACTTGTGGAAGTCAGAGGACACCTGACGTTGTTATTGTTGGAAGTCTCTAAGTTGATGTGAAACTCTTCTTCCCCGCCCTTGCTGTGGTCCCAGCCTTCCTTATCTTTTTCTCTGTGTCATCCGACTGTGCTGCTGAGGTCCTCAGGGGCAGAGCTGATGCCTCTCCTGGGTGCTGAGTGCCTCCTGGGTGCCCGAATGTTATTCATATTTCACAGGGAAAGTATCCAGATGGCAGTGGGCCCATTCCTACACATCCTGGAGGGGAACTTGCTCAGAGCTGTGGACCCCACAACCCCACCCAGCAAGACCAGGTACCCAGCACGGTGAACGCTTATGCCATGCAGAGCTGCGGGGGCCTCTGGCTGCAGGGAGGGACTCCGGGACTATGGGTCAAGAGCCAAGCTGTCAGTGCCTACAGGAGAATGCTCACCAGGGTCCCCAAGCAGGTCACAACACTTTTACTTTTCTTCCTGCTATAGCTCTCCTTGTATGTTTTTAGTTTAATGTCTCAAAGTTATTTTTTCCTTTCTTTTTTAAAAATTGATATCACCCCGGTTAACTGGATACATGAATATCGCACTGGTTTGTAGTTTAATAGTCCAAAACAGTGATGACGTAGTTCAAGTCCCTTATTCGGTGTACGGAAGGTAGGATCACTGTACATTTGAAAACACTGGAAGCAGCTCATGGGCTTCCGTCCCCAGTTTCCCAGAGCCTGGGATCCTCGATTTGGAATGTCATGTGTCCTGGGCACTTGCTCAGCAAATTGTGGTCTGGAGATGGAGTCTCAGGCCCGTCTCAGTCCTGCCAAGGCAGAGCCTGCATTGTCACTAGATGCCCCTTGATGCTGAAGTACTGCTAGGGTGTGAAGAGATGGATGGGGTGGAGATAACAGGGCTGAGCACCTGCCACACCTGTGGAGAGGTGCAGGGACCTGAGTTCAGAGGCGAACAGGGTTTCTAACAGCGCTGCGTCCCTCTCTGTCCACCACACACCTGCAGCGGCACTGTATCTAGCATGCTGTTGCTGCCTTGCTGATCTCCACCTTGTACCTTGAGGAAGGATCTGGTGCCAGTCTCCTAGATTGAGAGCCAGTAACATCCTTGGTCGTCCTGAAGAGAGAAATGCTAGCATCAAGCAGACACCCTAAAGGGTGGCTTGCTTATTGTTTGACTGACTGAAACTCCTCGGGAAATGTGTTGAAGACCAGGCAGCTTAGTATTCTTTTGAAATTAATTGCAATTTCCAAACCCCACTACACACATGTAGCCAAGGGTAGAAGAGCATCAGTCATGGGTGGCCAGGCCAAGAGGAAGAAGAGAGGTAGCACCTGAGCCCCAGGTGTTGTTTCTCCTTTGAAACTCCCAGGGTGGGGGGTGAGTGGGTGGGGGGGGGAGGTGTCCTTCTCCAGGAGACAAGAGAGTAGGAGTAGGGTCCTCACCATCTGCTTCAGAGTGGATTTTAAATCAGCGCAGCCGACTGCTAGTTGCCCCCTCGTTTCTGAGGCAGAGACAGGCAACGTCCTGGCCTCTGATCTCGTAGCAAGCAATTGTGGAGAACCGTTTAACTGTTTCCTTCTTTTTTTTTTTTTTTTTAAATATTTATTTATTATGTATACAATATTATTTCTGTGTGTATGTCTACAGGCCAGAAGAGGGCACCAGACCCCATTACAGATGGTTGTGAGCCACCATGTGGTTGCTGGGAATTGAACTCAGGACCTTTGGAAGAGCAGGCAATGCTCTTAACCTCTGAGCCATCTCTCCAGCCCCCTAACTGTTTCCTTCTTGCAGAAAGATGTACCTGTATGCCACACATGATGTCACCCTCATGCCTATCCTAATGGCCTTGGGGATTTTTGACCGCAAATGGCCTCCATTTGCTGTTGACCTGACCTTGGAACTCTACCAGCACCAGAAATCTAAGGAGTGGTTTGTGCAGCTCTATTACCATGGAGAGGTAAGATCTCTGAGTGAGGCTGGATGGTGGCTAAGCCCAACCCTGTCCTTCTGTGTCCCATCCCATCCCCCCCCCCCCCCCCCCCCCGCCACGCCTGAATTAGTGTCGTGTGTCTCAGGCCCAGTGGTGTCCCAAGTGTTAGCCTCAGCCGTCTGAATCCCATAGAACCTGGGGCAGTAGTTGACCTGTAATCACAGGGTATAGCATGGCCACATCTCAGCCCTGTAACAGACTCCTTCCAGGAACAGGGCGACTCTCCAGCCTTCCTGAGTGTGTCTGCCAGGCTCCTATCTGTGAGGCCCATTTTAGGAAGCCACTGAGTGTCTTCATGGCCAGTATCTTGGTGTCCTGGCTAACCCATCACTGCTGATGTCCTGGAGAAGCTGAGTACTGTCTGGGGATGGGACTGTCAGCTCTTCCAGCTCAGGGCCAGAGCTCAGCTAGGCTTTCCAGGACCTGCTGAGTTCTGTTCCTTCCACAGGAACAAGTGCCAAGAGGCTGCCCCAACAAGCTCTGCCCACTGGACAAGTTCTTGACCGCCATGTCAGCTTATGCTTTAAGCCCAGAAAAATACCACACACTCTGCTCCCAAGCACGGACAGTGGAACTCTGAGAGTGACGTGTTTACACAGACAAGGTGACTTAAATAAAGTGTCTTTATAGAAAAGGGTATCATGTTAATCAAAAGGGATTTTTCTACTCTGTGACACAATTTCTTTATGTGTATGAATGTTTTGCCTGTATGTAAGTCTGAAACCACCTGTGCCTGGTGCCCCATGGAAGGCAGAAAGTGTTGGATCTCCTGGAACTAGAGTTGGAGATGGTTGTGAACTGCCGTGTGATCTTCTAGAAGAACAGCCAGTGCTCTGAACTGCTGAGCCATCTCTCCACCTGCATGACATGATTTCTAAGAGCGTTGGTGTGAACCTGGGGAACTGTGTGCTTTGGGACTTGACGCTCTTTTCTTCTGTCAGCTTTACTCAGGCTCTAATTGTGGCTATCAGAAAGGTGGCTGCTTCTGCCTTTAAGTTGTTGCAATTCAGTGAGAGACAAATATCAGTAAATCAATGGCTTACAGTGCAGTGTTCTTTTGTTTTAAGATTTATTATGTATGCAGTGTTCTGTCTGTACATACACCTGCACACCAGAAGAGGGCACCAGATCTCGTTACAGATGATTGTGAGCCACCATGTGGTTGCTGGGAATTGAACTCAGGACCTCTGGAAGAGCAGCCAGTGCTCTTAACCTCTGAGCCATCTCTCCAACCCTAGCGCAGTGTTTTTTAAGTTACGACAATGTATTATGTGCATGTTCTGAACATAGAAACAGACCTGCTCCTCCTGGTAGGGGCTACACAGACAAGCCAAGATCCTTCTTGAGAAATTCTGTCTTAGTCTAAATAAGCATGGGAATAATAGAGTCAAATTCAACATTCATCAATAAATATAATACAGAACGTAAATAGGCCTAAGGGCAGAAATCACGCAATCATCTCAGATACTGAAAAGCCTTCAGGCGAAGTCTGACATTCCTTCATGATTAAGGCCTCGAAGAAACTGGGACTAGAAGAAACATACCTCAGCATAGTAAAGACTGCATATGACAGATCTATAGCTAACATACAGTAAATGAGGAGACTGTGAAAAGTCAGAAATAAGACAAATGTGTCTGCTTTGTTTACTCATTGTGGTGCTTGAAGCCTAAGCTAGAGCCATAAGGTACAGAAGGCACACAGATAGGAAAGGAAGAAGCCAGATTGTTATATGCAGACAACATGGTCCTGCACTTAGCAAACCCAATGACTCACCAGAAAACACTGAGCAAAGTAGGATAGAGAGTCAACATACAGACAGCAGTAGCCTTTTTATATAACAATAACAGAAAATCAGAAATCTCTATCACCGTAGCCTCAAAAATAAAAATTACTTTAGGAGAAAACTAATCAAAGAAATGAAAACCTTGTTCTGGTTAGATTTTATTTTAACCTTGGCAGAACTAAGTACCTGGGAAGGGGAGTCTCAGTTGAGGAGTTGCCCAGATCAGACAGATCTGTTACAGGTAGTGCCACCCCAAGACAGAGGGTCCTGCTTGTATAAGAAACCTGGTGGGGCAATAGCCAGGAGCAAGCCAGTAAGAAGCATCCTCCCTGGTTTCTGCTTGTGTCCCCACCTTTACGTCCCTCTGTGATAGATTGTGATCTAGAAGTATAAGATGAAATGTTCCCTTTCCTTCCCAAGTCACTTTCATCTTGGTTTATCACAGCCACAGAAAGCAAAATAGAGCGGATCTCTACAATGAAAACTGTAACATGCTGAAGAAACCAAAGGCAGTAGGTGAAGGGTTTCTCACATTCACAAATCTACAGTATTATTGAACATACTACCAAAAGCACTTCACTGCAAACCCCACAGAATTCCAGTGACAGTCTTAACAGAAACAGAAAAGACAGCCCTAAAACTGATGTAGAAGCACAAAAGATTCCAAGTAGCCAAAGCAATACTAAACAAAAAGCAGTGCTAAGGGTCCCATGATATCTCAAGGTACGCCACAGAGTCATGGTGTCAAAACCAGCATGGTACTGGCACAACACCTCCCATAAAACAGTGGAGTGGAATAGAAGACCCAGACAAGCCTAGCTGGCTGCAGGCACCCAATTATTGACAAAAATGACAAAAACACCACAGTAATGACAAACTTGAAAAAATAATGCGGGAAACACTGGATATTCACAGGTAAACGGATGAAACTAGATCTGGTGTGGGAGGTCCTTCTCTGTGTGTGTTGCTTTTCTTGGTTAATGAATAAAGAAACTCCCTTGGCCTGCTGATAGGGCAGAACTTAGGTAGGCGGGGAAAACAGGACTGAATTCTGGGAGGAAGAAATCAGAGTCAGAGGAACACCATGGAGCCAGAGTCAGACGTGCTGGAACTTTGGTGGTAGGCCACGATCTCATGGTGATATACAGATTAATAGAAATGCGTTAAATTAAGATGTGAGAGTTAGCCAATAAGAAACTAGAGCTAATGGGCCAAGCAGTGATTCAATTAATGCAGTTTCTTTGTGGTTATTTCGGGGCCAAGTTACCCGGGCGGCCAGGATGAACAGGCCAGGATGAACAAGTGGGCCCTCCAACACTAGATCCTTATCTATCTATCATCTTGTACAAAAATCAGTTCAAAATGGAGCAGTGGCATTGGAGGCCTGAAACTCTGGATCTGTTAGTGAGAGAAAAACAGGAAAATAGAGACTGGAGTGGGGATTTCCTGAAAAGAACTCCGCAGCTCAAGAAGTTCAAATTGGCCAAGGGAATTGCATGAGATTTAAAAGCCTCCATACAGCAGAGGAGGCAGCGAGAGGCCATCAACAGAATGGGGGAAAATCATCGCCAGTCTGACAGCCTCAGCACCTAGTCTATGTAAAGAACCCAAAGGAAATGAAATAAATGTCTTGCAACACACCTGACAATACTCTGGTTATTTAAATGAGAATGGCCCCCATAGGCTCATGTTTGGATATTTGGTTCCCATTTTGCTGGACCTCTCTGGAAAGGATTAGGAGGTGTGGCCTTGTTGGAGGAGGTGTGTCATTGGGGGTGGGCTTTGAGGTTTCCAAAGACTCCCGCCATTTCCAGCCATGTTCCTGCTCCCAACCCCTCTCCTCTTTGCAGCTTAAGATGTGAGCTCTTGGCTGTTTGTGCTGATAGACCTTTGCTCCACCATCGTGAAGTCGTAAACCCAAAGTGCTTTCTTTTATAAGTTGCCTAGGACATAGTCTTATCACAACGATAGGAAGGTAACTATGAACAGTTCAACCAATAAGTGGGCATGCGCATGAACAGTAAAAGCTATGCCCTGAATTCTATGGGGAAAAAAAGGTGCTCAACAGCCATGACCCTCATACAAAGGTGAAGACCACCTGAGACTTCATCTCATCCCCATCAGAAAAGCTGTCGTTAGATAAACCGCCAACAGACGCTGGTGAGGATGTGGGGAAGGAACCATGTGCACTGCTGTGGAGGAAATAAGCTAGGGTAGCCTGGGCGGAAATCCCAAAGACGTTCTTCTAAACACGGAAACGAGATCTGCCCCAGAATGCAGTTAGACCGTGGGGTGTAGTCTAGAAGCGGACCTCGGAGACACCTGTGCATCCATGTTCTCTGTGGCCCTGTTCTCATTGGCTAAGATGAAGCCGGACTAGCTCCATCATCGGAGGAAGGGATAAGGACAATGTGGGCCTGCATACACAGCCTGGTTTTATTCAGCCGTCTAAAGAACGAAGTAGCATTGTTTTCAGGAAAATGGATCAAGCTGTAGATCATTGTATTAAACTATATAAACCAGATTGAGAAAGATAAGTGTTTTCTCACATGTGGGTCATATGTGTGTGTGTGTGTAATATCTATATATATGCATATATATTACATTTATGTGTATATATACACACATGTTAATAGAGATCTGAAGGTAATGCTGTGAAAGAAAAGAACTGTATAGGAAGAGGAAAGGGAAAGTAGAGACAACCATATGGAATGATTGGATGAAAATATCGGTGAAAACTACCGCCATAATAAAATAACTATACACTAATATAAAAAGGTAGGGACACAGTCAAGTGGGAAGAGCTTCACCTTGCACAGGGTGTCCTTGTCTGCTGCTGCTGGTCCTGTTTCCTCTTCAGCATCCTGTTCCTTCCCAGAATTCATTCCAAACGTGATGATGTCAAACCACCAATTTCCCAGACAGGAAAGCCTCTGTGTTGCTGCTGTCTGTGAGACGCAGTTCCCCTCCCACCTGGCCCTTGATGGAAGGCGCTAACACCCTCCCTCCAGTGCTAAGCAGATAGCACACATCATCCTGTGTTGTCAGTAAGGTTCTACCGTGCTACCAGCCTGTTTGTGGAATCTGTTTACATCTCTCCATCTTGTCTTCCATGTCCTCCTGCCCATCCTCACTACTGCTCGCTGCAAACCTTATTTCACTATGAAGGAAAAAAAAAAAAAAAACAAACAACCCAGCAATAACCAAAATAAAAAAAAAAAATGTCCACACCTCTGCATTGCAACCCCTTGTCTCTCCCTCATCCCTCCCCAGGCCAGCCTTCCAGCTTTGCCTTTCTGTCTTGTCAGTGTTTTGGGTTTTTTTTTTCCCCACCACGTGTTCCCATTAGCATACAAATAAGCTATAAAATCTCCTGTCTTAAAATTTCTCCCCATCATTCGGCTATGGCATTTTTCTTTCTAGCAAGGCTGTTCAAAATAGTGTCCATTTCTGATTCCTTTTACTAGGTATTCACCCCCAAGCTCCATGGAGACCGCCCTTGTCCGGCAAATCCAATAGCCAGTTTTCAGTCGTCTCCCTGGGCCCATCAGCATGCTGCGAGCTCTCTGGCTTCTAGGGCATGCTCTTGCTTCCTCCACTTTCTCCGCTTGTCTGTTTTTGCGGAATTCCCCCCTTCCCTGACCTCTAAGTGTTGAAGGGTCCTGAACTTAGTTTGGGAACCTTTATTCTACTCTCTTTTCCTGCGCTTACCCTAGGTAGTTCTGTAATTTTCAGTATCAACTGCTCAAATGAGTCTCACTTCTTTCTACTCAGTAGTACCTCAGTTTAGATATTAAAGGTATTTCATTGGTCTGAGACTTCCCAAGGCCCACAATCAACCACCAGCCCTGAAGCTCCCTGTCCTTCTCACCTCCCACAGGTCCCCTCCTCAAACTAAACTATCATTGACTCAGTGGCTTGGGCCACGACCTTTGGGGTCACCCTTGAGTCCCCTCTCTCTCATAGCCCGCACCCACTGCATCATCAGTGAATTCTGCTGCCTCTCTCCCAGCTGTACCCAGAAGCGACCCTTCCTGAGACTTCTTTTGCTATTGTCTTAGTTCTCTTGTTGCCACTGACCTGGACACCTGAAAAGACTTCCTACCCAGTTCTGCCTCTCTGTGCTTCTTCCCCAGTCTATCCCGAGACAGCAGCTGCTTTTAGAAACAATCTAATCCTGATCTTCTTTTGCCCCAATATCTCTGGTTCCCATCTCAAAAGAAGTGACAGTCATTGTAATGTTCTCCAGGCCCTGGGATG